TATGCTATTTGCTTTAATCGTTACAGATCGATTTAAACTGATCGATGATAATCGATCATCTGATATATAACGAAATGTATCATAGTTCGATATTTATCGAACAATGATTTATATGGTATATAACGAATTAATCGATATATATCGATATTTTTTAATCGATATATATCGATTTATTGCTATATATTGATTTATATCTTTTTAAAAAATTTTCTGATGATAAGAGAATAAAATTTATAAATAATTTTTTTTATAAAAATTTTTTTAAAAAATTAAAATCTGGTTATAAGTTGTAAAAAGCTAGTAGTGATATAAAAACTAAAAAGATAAGTTTAAATAGCCTTATCTATAGCTGACTTATTTTTACTAAAATATATTTTTTTTTAGTATTAAGATAAGGTCTTGTCTCATATTTTTATTTAGATAATTCTAAATATTTGCCTTATATAGCTATATATCTAACTTAAAAATACAGATTTAGACAATCTTATCTACAACCTAAACCTACTAGAGTATGCTATGTTCTCACTATATATTAGATTATACCTAGATTCAGTATTTAGACTATATCTAGTTATTCACTATATTTACCCATGTCTCACTATCAAATCTTGATAACTTCCAAATTGGTTTATTCAGATAATCAGTCCTTAATAGTCTCCTAATTTGATATATTTATTATTTGGTACTTCTTTTAAACTAGTATACTTTTATAAAAGTGGCCTCTTGTATATATTTCTCAAGCCAGGTACCTGCTGCTATCACTAGTTTTACATGAGAAGTATTGGTATTACATACTAAAAAAGAACTTATCAAGTATTTGCATCATCTTTTGTTGGCTTATATATCTTTGTACAACTTAATATTATATGAATGCCTCAAACCTCCTACTTACTTTTTCAGGTAAACTAATCTCATATTTCAAGCCAGACTCTGCTGCTGCCACTGGTTTGCCATTCTCAGGTTTTAGTGTTTTCTAAGTTATTTGATGCAGTGTACTTCTTACTATCCTTTAAGTACTCTCTTATATGATATTTGTCAAGACCATAGTTCATGAGGACCCCTTAAATTGTATAGCAACTACAAGGCTATATACTTCTAGCCATTAGCTATATTTTTAATTCTGCTTTAATGACCTATCTTGTTAAAGACTAGCCTAATACCACAAAATTACTTAAGTAAATAGTAAGCTAAATCACTTCTAGTTGGTATTATATTAATATTAGTAAATTCTAACTTTTTTCATTATAAATTTCTATATAGATGTGATCAGAGCTCTGAATTAATACTTTTAGATATACAGGGGTAGGTTATATTCTCTACACCAAGTAGCCTTCTATAGCTATTTCACCAGTATTAGTGATACTTCTAATTCCAGTTAAGACATTATTACAGCCTATAGTTGCGTATTACTGCTTCTCTTACTATTCTAGTTTTGGTAGTATTATATCATACTTTTAAACAATTACCTAATACTATTCTATATTAGAACTTATACTCACAATCTATTGATCATCCTTCCAAGCAAGTACCTCACAAGTTGGGTGTAGAGATATTAGTATTGTCAAATATAGAGATGATAGAATGTTAATATTATCTTCAAGTTACTCTAACTAAAGAACTTACACATGCGATTTTCTACTATCTAGACTTTCTATAATACTGCTATTACATGTAGTACCTTTACTCCACAACTTAATCTTCTTTCAAGAACTTTTTATTCTGGTTTTGTATTGTACTTGAACTTTTTACAGAGCTTTGCATCTGATTATAGCTTTCATAGATTACAGAAACAAATTTTATTAAAATTTGACTCTAGCCTGACTTGAACTATTGATCTAGTCTGTAGGTTTAGGAGCTTAACTAATAAGCTATAGGATCCAAACTCTACTAAAATAATTTATTTTAATTTTTTAAATAAACTTTTAATATAAAATTTTATATATAGGATTTAATTATTTTGCGCAGATACATTGTAACGCACCTCATAAGATCAGATATAATATAAAATCAAAACAATAGTTTGTTACATGATTAGAGTTAGCATTAGATAAGATTAGAGTAGACATAAAAAATAGACTTATAGTAAAATTTTGCAAGAAATTTTTTTGTTAGAACCCAAAAGGTAGTTGCATATGCGAAATTTTGAGTTATAAGCATTTTTTTGAAAATGAACACTTTGTTTTAAATTTTCTTGATTGTGTAATATTACATCTGATCTTATGTTTTAATTAGTTGATTAGGGTGCGTTACAATGCAAATGTGCTAAATTACATAATTCATATATATATTATATTTTTAAAATTAGTAATTTATTCTTTTTTATAAAATTTTGCTAATAAAATTTTTAATTTGAAAAATTATTTTAAATAATCTTATTTTACTATTTTGATATATTAATCTTTAAAATTTAAAAATAAAGTGATTTGCAAGTTAAAAATAATCTTAAATTAAGTTTATAATAAATTTATATATTTTATTGTAATTTTATTACTTATATATTAACAGATGTAATATTTTTTTAACTGTTAAAAAATGATTAATTAACTATTTCAATTTTATATATTCTATCAAAATTGTTCAGGTTTGCAAAATTAAATATATTGTCTTTCTACTAATTATAATTAGTTTTTTTTAATAAATATTATCAAAATTAAAGATATTATATATTAAATATTTGGCAATAATATTATAGTTCATATTATTTAGCACTATTAACAGTTAAATTTAAATCTTTAATTTAAATTTAATTTTTTAAGAATTTAATTATTATTACTTAATCAAATAATTAAATTTTTATTAAAAATAAAAAATATAAAAATCTGTTTATTATTATAGTTAGAATAAATTTAGTTAAAATAGGCTAGACTAATTTAATTTAGTAGTTTATTTTACTTTCTTCTCTTTTAATCTCTCTTTTTCTTTTAGTAAAAAATTTTTTAAAATATATAGTTGATATTGTCTAATTGCATACTATCTGTTAGAAGCTTTTTATACATATAGATAATATATGTATTTAAGTTATAAGAACCATAGTTGTATTAATAGTTAAAAATTAAAATTTTTTATGTAGTTAGAGTATATATGCAATTAGACAGTATATAATTAGACAGTATCAACTATATATATAATTTGGCCAAAAAGCTAATACTAAACAAAATTAAAATTAGAAATTATAAGAATCTAAAAAATTTAAAAAGAAAATAAATAAATATAAAAGACAAGCAAGATTAGACTAATATAGTCAATACTATTTAATTGTATGCTATCTGTTAGAGACTTTTTCATATATATAGACTATATAAGTATTTAAGTTATAAGAACTATATTTGTGTTAATAGTTAAAAACCAAAATTTTTTATGCAATTAGAGAATATATACAATTAGATAGTATACAATTAGATAATATTGACTATAATTTCTAATTAAAAAAATTTTTAATAAAATTTATTATATATACAGTTATCCTTTTTTATAGTCACCTCTTATATAGCAATACTCTCTTTATAAGTACTATTTTTTAAAAAATTATTGAAAATTTATTTATTAAAAAATCGTTATATAATCACAATACTATTAAAATTTTATAATTATTTCTTTTTTATATAAAACAAACTGTGTGATTATAGAGAAGAATAACTATATATTCTATATCTTTTAAAAAAAATATAATATAAACTATCAAATCAAGTTGGTCTTACTATATAATTAGCAAATTATCTACTATAGTTATAGTTAATAATAGTTAGTTAAATAGCTTAGCTAACTAGTTATTTAATACTAAATTTTTTATTTTCTAGTTAATAAATTATAATTATTATTTAATTCAATTTAAAATATATAAATTATAGAATTGTTATAAAAAATATTTTAGCTATTATATTATAGTAAATTTTTGATTTTAATTAGTTAAAAATGACAAACAATATTTATATCAAATTTTATTAATAAATTATAGTTATTTATTAAATAAAAAATATTTCTAAACTAATTTTACTATGTGTTATATAATTTAGCATATATGTACTATAAAACACTTTCTAATCAACCAATTAAAATATAAGATTAGGTATAATATTACATGATTAGAAAAATTCAAAACAAGCATTTATTTTACTAAAAATTGTTTATAACTTAAAATTTTATATATACAACTTTTGAGTTCTAATAAAAAAAATTTCTTGCAAAATTTTACTATAAGCCATTTTTTACTACCTTAATTTAACCTTAATCACAAAAAAAACAATTGCTTTGTATAATGCACTTGTGTAAAATGATTAAATTCTTTTACTATAATAAAATATATTTTTTAAATAGAATATTATTATAGTGCTATAGCATTTTAGCACTATAGCACTATAGTATTATCTTTTATAATATAAAAATAAAATTTAAACAAAAGTAAGTTCTAGTTACACAAATTGACTATGTATAAGTATTTTTTTATATTGATTTTGCATTTTTTTACTACTTGTAAGCATTTTCTTTTTTCTTCTTTATAGTATTGTCTTGTTGTTAGTATCATAATTATTATTATTTTGTTCTTGCTAGTATGTATCATGGATGCTGTAATTAATGTTGTAATTGTTGTAATTTATGTCATTTATTATATTTAGTTTAGACAGTATCATGTTATTTATATTCATTCTGCAGATAATACATAGTTGTTTATTAATACTTTCAATTTTCTTATATCATCATTTCATTAGTGATATTAAATAGTGCTTTGCTTTTCTAATGCTTTGCTTTGTTTGTTTGCTAAAACTTTACTTTCACTGGTACTGGTACTTTGCTTTTTAGTGTTTACTCTTTTTCTATGACTTTATTTTCTGGCATATTGCTTGTTGCTACCTTGTCTTTCTGATATTTTACTTTTTGATGCTTTGTGTTGCTCTTTTGCTAGAACTTTACTTTACTGGTAATTTGCTTGCTACTGCTTTACTTTCTAATATTTTGCTCTTTTGCTAGAACTTTATTTTACTGGTGCTTCAATTTGCTGCTGCCCTGTCTTTTTGATGCTTTGCTTTTTTGGTGTTTTGCTTTGCTTTTTTAGTGCTTTGCTTTGCTCTTTTGCTAGAACTTTACTTTTACTGGTACTTGCTACTCCACCTTTTTAGTGCTTTGCTTGTGCTCTTTAACTATAACTCTAACTTTAATTAACTATTTTCATATTACATCAAAGAAACTTACCATTTGTCTATCATCTAAAAAATCTACTGCCAATTCAAAATATAGCAAAAATGCCAAAAACAATGCCAATTAGCAACCGCAATGCCAGTGAAATAAATGAACCAATGAAAGATAATACCAGTATATGATGATATCAACATCAGATAACTATATTCACAAATAACAAAATGGTAACAAATCATCAACATAATATAAACACTATAAAAAAGAGACTGGTTAGTAAAATAAAGTAATATAGGTAACAAAAAAAATGATACTTATCTAAACAACCTAGCAACATGATACAATACTAACAGGTTCTAGCAAAAGAGCACAAGCAAAGCACTAAAAAGGTGGAGTAGCAAGTACCAGTAAAAGTAAAGTTCTAGCAAAAGAGCAAAGCAAAGCACTAAAAAAGCAAAGCAAAACACCAAAAAAGCAAAGCATCAAAAAGACAGGGCAGCAGCAAATTGAAGCACCAGTAAAATAAAGTTCTAGCAAAAGAGCAAACACCAAAAAAGTAAAACACTAGCACTAGCAAAAGTAAAGTTCTAGCAAAAAAACAAAGCAAAGCAAGAACTATTTAATGTCACTAGTGAAAAAATAATACAAAAATTTGAAAGTATTCAGGTTAGCAAAATGAAAAAGTAATATAGAAAAAAAAAATAATACTTATTTAGATAACATAGCAATGTAATACAATATCAGCAAGTTTTAGCAAAGTGTACAAGCAAGTATCTAAAAGGTGAAGTAGCAGCAAATCAAGCCTTAGTAAAAGCTAAGTTCTAGCAAAAAAGCAAAATATTAGAAAGTAAAGCAGTAGCAAGCAAATTACCAGTAAAGTAAAGTTCTAGCAAAAGAGCAACACAAAGCATCAAAAAGTAAAATATCAGAAAGACAAGGTAGCAACAAGCAATATGCCAGAAAATAAAGTCATAGAAAAAGAGTAAACACTAAAAAGCAAAGTACCAGTACCAGTGAAAGTAAAGTTTTAGCAAACAAACAAAGCAAAGCATTAGAAAAGCAAAGCACTATTTAATATCACTAATGAAATGATGATATAAGAAAATTGAAAGTATTAATAAACAACTATGTATTATCTGCAGAATGAATATAAATAACATGATACTGTCTAAACTAAATATAATAAATGACATAAATTACAACAATTACAACATTAATTACAGCATCCATGATACATACTAGCAAGAACAAAATAATAATAATTATGATACTAACAACAAGACAATACTATAAAGAAGAAAAAAGAAAATGCTTACAAGTAGTAAAAAAATGCAAAATCAATATAAAAAAATACTTATACATAGTCAATTTGTGTAACTAGAACTTACTTTTGTTTAAATTTTATTTTTATATTATAAAAGATAATACTATAGTGCTATAGTGCTAAAATGCTATAGCACTATAATAATATTCTATTTAAAAAATATATTTTATTATAGTAAAAGAATTTAATCATTTTACACAAGTGCATTATACAAAGCAATTGTTTTTTTTGTGATTAAGGTTAAATTAAGGTAGTAAAAAATGGCTTATAGTAAAATTTTGCAAGAAATTTTTTTTATTAGAACTCAAAAGTTGTATATATAAAATTTTAAGTTATAAACAATTTTTAGTAAAATAAATGCTTGTTTTGAATTTTTCTAATCATGTAATATTATACCTAATCTTATATTTTAATTGGTTGATTAGAAAGTGTTTTATAGTACATATATGCTAAATTATATAACACATAGTAAAATTAGTTTAGAAATATTTTTTATTTAATAAATAACTATAATTTATTAATAAAATTTGATATAAATATTGTTTGTCATTTTTAACTAATTAAAATCAAAAATTTACTATAATATAATAGCTAAAATATTTTTTATAACAATTCTATAATTTATATATTTTAAATTGAATTAAATAATAATTATAATTTATTAACTAGAAAATAAAAAATTTAGTATTAAATAACTAGTTAGCTAAGCTATTTAACTAACTATTATTAACTATAACTATAGTAGATAATTTGCTAATTATATAGTAAGACCAACTTGATTTGATAGTTTATATTATATTTTTTTTAAAAGATATAGAATATATAGTTATTCTTCTCTATAATCACACAGTTTGTTTTATATAAAAAAGAAATAATTATAAAATTTTAATAGTATTGTGATTATATAACGATTTTTTAATAAATAAATTTTCAATAATTTTTTAAAAAATAGTACTTATAAAGAGAGTATTGCTATATAAGAGGTGACTATAAAAAAGGATAACTGTATATATAATAAATTTTATTAAAAATTTTTTTAATTAGAAATTATAGTCAATATTATCTAATTGTATACTATCTAATTGTATATATTCTCTAATTGCATAAAAAATTTTGGTTTTTAACTATTAACACAAATATAGTTCTTATAACTTAAATACTTATATAGTCTATATATATGAAAAAGTCTCTAACAGATAGCATACAATTAAATAGTATTGACTATATTAGTCTAATCTTGCTTGTCTTTTATATTTATTTATTTTCTTTTTAAATTTTTTAGATTCTTATAATTTCTAATTTTAATTTTGTTTAGTATTAGCTTTTTGGCCAAATTATATATATAGTTGATACTGTCTAATTATATACTGTCTAATTGCATATATACTCTAACTACATAAAAAATTTTAATTTTTAACTATTAATACAACTATGGTTCTTATAACTTAAATACATATATTATCTATATGTATAAAAAGCTTCTAACAGATAGTATGCAATTAGACAATATCAACTATATATTTTAAAAAATTTTTTACTAAAAGAAAAAGAGAGATTAAAAGAGAAGAAAGTAAAATAAACTACTAAATTAAATTAGTCTAGCCTATTTTAACTAAATTTATTCTAACTATAATAATAAACAGATTTTTATATTTTTTATTTTTAATAAAAATTTAATTATTTGATTAAGTAATAATAATTAAATTCTTAAAAAATTAAATTTAAATTAAAGATTTAAATTTAACTGTTAATAGTGCTAAATAATATGAACTATAATATTATTGCCAAATATTTAATATATAATATCTTTAATTTTGATAATATTTATTAAAAAAAACTAATTATAATTAGTAGAAAGACAATATATTTAATTTTGCAAACCTGAACAATTTTGATAGAATATATAAAATTGAAATAGTTAATTAATCATTTTTTAACAGTTAAAAAAATATTACATCTGTTAATATATAAGTAATAAAATTACAATAAAATATATAAATTTATTATAAACTTAATTTAAGATTATTTTTAACTTGCAAATCACTTTATTTTTAAATTTTAAAGATTAATATATCAAAATAGTAAAATAAGATTATTTAAAATAATTTTTCAAATTAAAAATTTTATTAGCAAAATTTTATAAAAAAGAATAAATTACTAATTTTAAAAATATAATATATATATGAATTATGTAATTTAGCACATTTGCATTGTAACGCACCCTAATCAACTAATTAAAACATAAGATCAGATGTAATATTACACAATCAAGAAAATTTAAAACAAAGTGTTCATTTTCAAAAAAATGCTTATAACTCAAAATTTCGCATATGCAACTACCTTTTGGGTTCTAACAAAAAAATTTCTTGCAAAATTTTACTATAAGTCTATTTTTTATGTCTACTCTAATCTTATCTAATGCTAACTCTAATCATGTAACAAACTATTGTTTTGATTTTATATTATATCTGATCTTATGAGGTGCGTTACAATGTATCTGCGCAAAATAATTAAATCCTATATATAAAATTTTATATTAAAAGTTTATTTAAAAAATTAAAATAAATTATTTTAGTAGAGTTTGGATCCTATAGCTTATTAGTTAAGCTCCTAAACCTACAGACTAGATCAATAGTTCAAGTCAGGCTAGAGTCAAATTTTAATAAAATTTGTTTCTGTAATCTATGAAAGCTATAATCAGATGCAAAGCTCTGTAAAAAGTTCAAGTACAATACAAAACCAGAATAAAAAGTTCTTGAAAGAAGATTAAGTTGTGGAGTAAAGGTACTACATGTAATAGCAGTATTATAGAAAGTCTAGATAGTAGAAAATCGCATGTGTAAGTTCTTTAGTTAGAGTAACTTGAAGATAATATTAACATTCTATCATCTCTATATTTGACAATACTAATATCTCTACACCCAACTTGTGAGGTACTTGCTTGGAAGGATGATCAATAGATTGTGAGTATAAGTTCTAATATAGAATAGTATTAGGTAATTGTTTAAAAGTATGATATAATACTACCAAAACTAGAATAGTAAGAGAAGCAGTAATACGCAACTATAGGCTGTAATAATGTCTTAACTGGAATTAGAAGTATCACTAATACTGGTGAAATAGCTATAGAAGGCTACTTGGTGTAGAGAATATAACCTACCCCTGTATATCTAAAAGTATTAATTCAGAGCTCTGATCACATCTATATAGAAATTTATAATGAAAAAAGTTAGAATTTACTAATATTAATATAATACCAACTAGAAGTGATTTAGCTTACTATTTACTTAAGTAATTTTGTGGTATTAGGCTAGTCTTTAACAAGATAGGTCATTAAAGCAGAATTAAAAATATAGCTAATGGCTAGAAGTATATAGCCTTGTAGTTGCTATACAATTTAAGGGGTCCTCATGAACTATGGTCTTGACAAATATCATATAAGAGAGTACTTAAAGGATAGTAAGAAGTACACTGCATCAAATAACTTAGAAAACACTAAAACCTGAGAATGGCAAACCAGTGGCAGCAGCAGAGTCTGGCTTGAAATATGAGATTAGTTTACCTGAAAAAGTAAGTAGGAGGTTTGAGGCATTCATATAATATTAAGTTGTACAAAGATATATAAGCCAACAAAAGATGATGCAAATACTTGATAAGTTCTTTTTTAGTATGTAATACCAATACTTCTCATGTAAAACTAGTGATAGCAGCAGGTACCTGGCTTGAGAAATATATA